CCTACCTGGAGGGGCGGCATCCCCCGGGGGTCCCCCAGGATCCTTCCCAGTGCTGCGTGTCACCCCGGGGTGTCCGTGGGATGTCACCCTGCCAGCCCTGGCTTTAGGGTGTGTTGGCAGATCAGCCCGTTTGGGCTCTCCCCTCTCTGCTTGTCCCTGCTGTTGCACGCGTTGGGGATCGAATCGCCTCCCGTTATGAGGGAATGATCCACACGGCCTTGAGCGGACGCGGTGCGGAGTGTTCCGCTAATAGGAGCACTCTGTGATAAGATAATTACCTAAACCAGGGTGTAGTAGCAGTCGTGACAAGCAGCATTTTGAGCAGCTCTGGGTTCTTCCCGCCTGTGTGGGTGCAGGAGGCAGCGTTCCCTGCTCCCTGAGTTGGCTCCCCAACTAACTGGCCTGTTCAGCGGCCTCCCTGCTCCTCCTCGTCCCCACTGCAGTTCTGGGGATGACGTTAAAGCTTTGCTCGGTTTCTAGCACCAGCTTTTATCCGACTGTGTAACTGCAGAATTTCTACTGACAGAGAAGGAGGGAGAATTCTCTCTCCAGCTCCCTCGTGACCTAGATTTAACGTGGCTGGATAACTGATGCATCCCCGGCTCGCTTTTCAGTACCAATCTGGGTGACAAAGCATCAACAGCCTTAGCTTCCCAATGCCCCTGGATGAGCAGGCTGCTCTCCTGTGCCCAGCGGCCACGTGCAGGCGAGCGAGGGAGCTGAACACATTATTTTTTTTTGCTAAAACCTGTCGCTTTACCCAGAGCAGCCTTCTAGATGCTGCCTGACAGCGTGGAGCAGCGAGAGGCCGACTCGCAGCCCTGTGCTGTTCCACGTGCTTTAGAGTGATGCAACGCTGAGTCTTAATTACAGTTAACATCTTTTCTAGGTGTTTCCTAACACATTAAAGCTCTAGTTATAACCCAAGAGCTAAGCATTCTCGCGGCAGAATTCCTTGCAACTAATTTAGTGTCTGTTCTTAATATTTTAGTGGCAAGACCTGACGATTTAGACAATGAGAGGTAGGAAACTAATTGAATCCTCCGCTGTTTGATACTTTGCTGTGATAATATATAATTATTACCTCATTATTATATGTTTTTCATGTTGGCTGCTTTGATGGGGAAGGGAGAGAAGGGAGCTTAGTGGAACGGGGGATGGAGCCCTGGGTTCTCTCAAGCAGCTGTGCCAAGTTTTTAATACTTAATCTCGGCCTTGATGCTGGGCTATGATAATCTTTAGTCGAGCACTGTAAGACTCCCCCAGCAGTTCTCCTCAACCCCCTAAAATTAGAGGTGCTGCCTTGAAAACGCTTCCTGCTGTGCAGGTCTCCAGTGCTGGCAGCAGACCTGGTTGTGGGGTGTTTCACAGGAGCTGTCGCCGCATAGTTCTGGCCTGAGCGCAGCGTTAATGACGGGTTGAGCAGCCCTGGGTGCTGCGGGGCTGCTGACACCTCCCTCCCTGCCTGCCGGGTGCTCGGGCTCCTGCTTCAATCCCTTCATCCACTGCCAGGTGACAAATCTGGCTGCGAGGAGCCCAAGCACAACAGGAATCGCTGCTGCTCAGCCCCAGGCCCTTGTGACTAGCAGCTAAGAAGCACTAGTAGAACTTGCCAAGCACAATGGCCTCGAAAGTGACTCTGTGTGGCAGGCATGGTGCAAAACCGCTCGGAAGCCTCATGCTAAATTCCCTGTGGTTGCGTTTGACCGAACAAACGCAGAGAAAGCAAATGTAACCATTTGATTTGCTGCTGCTTTGTCCTTTTGTCTTCAGCTAAACTGACTTTTTTAAGCTTTAAGCAGTTTGTTAGTTATGGGCGAGGTTATCTTGGTAGTGAGTTGAAGCTGGCTGCTCTGGAACGTGCTTAAGCAGGATAAGGTCATGTTGCACAGTAGCGTGGAAATGTTAGTCCAGGACAAAAGACCGAGTGACTCAAATTACTGCTCCTTAGCTGCTATGAGAGAACGGGGACACTCCTAGGAGTAAGTGCTGCCTTTGACAGGGCTGGGTTTTGCAGGGCAGAATGACCCCCATCTGCAGAGCTCAGCAGCTGGGGGGAGCCAGAAGGGAGCACTGAGACGAGTGCTTTGTGATAAGAAGTTAATTGTGCACTGGATTCCATGCAGTAATACCTGTCCACACATTCCTACCTTTGCTGCAGCTGGGGATATGTTCACCCTCGGCTGCTTGGAGTGCCAGAGCTGTGTCACCATTTGGCTGAAGGATGGGTGACTGGGACCAACTTCTTAAGAAATCTCTTTATTTTCAAGAGGCAAAACCCTGGCAAGGTAAGGGAGTACAGACTTTAACAAATTAAACATTGGTTGGGTGGAAATACCAACCTTTGCTGACTTCTAGTATCCCATTGGAATTGCATCCAGACCCGGGCGAGTGCATTCCACATATTGGAAGTTACCATGGGAGGTCTCCCGAAATGACACAGCCATTAAGTGGTGGAGAGGAATAGAAGGCACAGGCCAAATAATGAGATTGTGGTGGAGGGAGGAGAAAGCAAGTGGTGGCATGTTGGTTGCACAAGTGAAGTGAAAATGTAGCTGCTCCTTCTGTAGGTTGAGATTTTAAGGATCTCAAACTCATTTCCTCGTTCGATTTTAACAGTTTGAGAACCAGTGCAAAAAGTTGCATGCCTTTTCTTGAGGCTTATGCAAAGAAGAACCCATGGCACCCATGGAAGTGATAACTTCTTTGTACTTTTGCACCTGGGAGAGCTCTGTTGTCTTTAACCTCTTACTTTTAGCATGTCTGCTTTGAGAAGCACGTTATATCCACAGACAAGAACCCTTGTTATGTGGCCTGTCACTCTAAAACCAGATACTAATTGTATCTTTCTAATCCTAGAACAGCACAGTTGAATGTTAGGAAGTCTTTGCTGTTGTTAAAAGTAGGATTTCACTACCTGCAATTCTGCAGAGAGCAACATGTTTGAAAATGGAATGATTCTGGTGTTTAACTGCTCACTGTCTCCCATGTCTTCAGTTTTGCCTTCTAGTATGTGGAGTCTTTACTTTCCTGGCTGTGCTGGGCCGGTACATCCCTGGGCTCTTGCTCTCATACCTTCTGAGTAAGTAGAAGGTCCCTGTGCCAAATTCTTCACGGTGAGGAGACGTAGAGATGAGTGGGATTTGAATGTCTGAGAGCTGGGGCTCTCCTGCTCAAATCAAGGCTTGTGTGGATGGCTTTAAGATTTAAAACAGTGCATTCTGCCTGAAATGTGGTGATTCCTGCCCAGTCTCCAGCCCAGACAGAGCGTGTCTGGGTGCTTGGGAACTATAGATCTGAGTGCTAATAGTTTGACCTCTCAATTTTCATAAATTGGCAGAGGTGATCGCGCCAGATCAGTGCTCAGATCACTGCACGACAAAACGGGCAAGGTGTTTGCTAAGTAGCATCTTGAACAAGCATCTAATGAGCCTTCCCACCTACCCCAGTGCTCTTCATCCTGCTGTGGCCCCTTGCTGTGTACCACAGACTGGGCCAGCGCATGTACATGAAGCTGGAGCCAGCTCTGCAGCGGCTGGACTTCGGTGTTCGAGGCTACGTGATGTCAAAGCAGCGGGAAAGGCAACGTAAGTCTTCCCTGTGTGTTTCTAATTCTGCAGACAGATCCTTGGGATCTGAAACAGTCTGTGAAACAACCCCTGGTGCCAGGTGGGGCCGCGTTGCGTTGTGGGCGCTCCGGTGCCTTTGGCCAACACTGGCAAACGCTCTGGGAAGGCAGCGAGGCCGCTCCGCATCCGCACGGGTCTCCCGAGGAGCCCTTGGACTGCGCTTCCCTCAGCTCCGAGGGCTCCACATTGCAGACCCACTGACAGCCCTGCCTCGCTTTCCAGTGCAAGGCAGCTGCTAAGTCCACCTGGGCAAAAGATCTGCAGCAGGCCACATCAGAAATGATGGTGTGGCCCCTGTGAACAAAGCATGCTGCGCTGTGCCCTTCTTGCCAGCATTTTCCTGCTTGGCCTGGGGTTGTTCCTGTGCAGATCTCTAACAGCAATAACAGGCTCTGACTCTGATTTCTGGCAGTGCGACAGAGAGGCCTTAGCCAGGACGCTGCGGATGACGGGAGTGACAGCGAAGAGGAGCTCGCCGCGTTCTGTCCCAAGGTAACGTTGTGTCTCTGCAGTAACAGCTCTGAGCTGCACAGAACAAGCAGGCTGCGTTGCCTGGACATGCAACAGCCCAGCGTGGTAGCTGAGCTGTGGTGCAACATCACATCAGGATGTTCTCTGCTTGAAGAGTTTGTCTTTCCTGTTCTCTCTCATTCTTGTGTACTGCATCTTTGTAAAATGTAACTTTTCCAGTATTTTGTGTTTTCAACTGTATCTCCCGTTTCAAAGCTGGACGAGTCTGTGGTTGCCAAGGAACTAACGATCTCTGACTCGGAGCACTCGGATACTGAGGTTTCCTACACTGAGAATGGGATGTTTAACCTTTCCAGAGGCCAGACCCCGCTGACAGAGGGATCCGAAGGTGAGAGGAAATAGGCAGTTTCTCAAAGGTCTGGAATACTGCAGAAGTAGCTGTGCAACAGGCCGGAGGGAGTGTGCATTCCCTTCCAAGAGCTTCAGCTCTTTGGTGTCTGTCTTGCTGGCTAAGATAAGATGCAACTACCTGTTTTTTCACAAGACCTTCCGTAATTCCTATGGTACTTTAGTAGAGCAACAACAGGTTCTCTTCAAAGGCAGATCCAGCCCTACCAGCCTAGGGATAAGTGTTGTAGCATTAAGCTGTGTCGGTGTGGCCGGCCTGTCTGTCTGTTCCTGTCATTAGAGTACAGACAGTCATTTCTCACCCTTCCAAGACCTTCCTGTATTCTGTGTTTATCTGCTGCGTGAGGGAGAGGGTTCTTTCCTCCAGCAGCAAGTGTTTTGTTCAGCACTTGCGTTTCTGATGAGTGAACCGGGAGGCAAACGGGCGTCAGGGAGAGCGGATTAAACTGTTTGGTCTGCGGGCTGATAAGAGCCTGTCTGTCCCAGTGAGGTAACGGTCTCCCTTTTGTGCTCTGTGCTGCCCTTGCCTGACGGGTGCTTTTCTTTTACTGTACATTTAAAGCACTCTTTCTCCTCTTCCAGATCTAGATGGTCACAGTGATCCAGAAGAATCTTTTGCCAGGGATCTCCCTGACTTCCCTTCCATAAACCCAGAAACAACTGGCATAGACGATGAAGACGACACCAGCATCGGGATTCCAAGTCTTGCCTACCGCTCCCAAGCGACGGAAGATCTACACCTCCCTTACGAGCAGGAGGGATCCGCCGCGCTGCCGTCGGTGCAGCACCTCACCAACAACATCGCCGGGTTTGTCACCAGAGGGATGATACAGCTTGCGCTATCCGGAGCCGCTCAACCGGGCTCTTCACGCAGTGACAATCCCCAGAGAGGTGCAAAGACCTTTCTCAGAACGGCCAGCTCAGATTTGGACACTGATGCAGAAGGGGATGACTTTGAACTGCTGGATCAGTCTGAGCTGAACCAGCTGGATCCTACGGGCTCACGGGGCCAATAAGCAATCATGTCACTTCCCTTCTGGGTTTCTGTTGTGCATCGTGGAGGGGGAATCCTTGAAGAAAAAGGCACGGCACCGTTACCTAAGTTGTCTCCTGTGTGAGTACAAGTGATAAGACAACCAATCCTGGCTGGGAACACCACTGTGAAATGTGACTCTGTAGCCTCGCTTGGATTATTTTAAAATAAACTACACTGGTAATTCATAAGGAAAAGGCGTTGATGTGATAGCTCCACAATCACCCATGCGCATTATCTGCCAGGATGCTGCTTACTCCAAATTTCCTCACATAAGACAATAAATCTGATGTCTACAGCTCTAGAGACCACTAGTCAGACTGACTTAGCGTCACTGAGAACAATCTTGCGGCCGACCTTCCTGGGGTGACCTTCCTGGGTGACACATGACAAGGTGAATGGGATTGGTTTCCCCTCAGACTTGATGTTCTGTCTTTAAAAAAACCATTCCCTACTTCTAAAACGTGCATAGAATCTGATTCTTCTTCCCCAGCACTATCCAGCTCTGGGTAGAAACTAACATTTTGCCTCAGTTGTGGACACATCTACTGCCACACACGTTTGTACTTGTAATGACCACTCATCTCCAGCTGAAGCTTTCTAGCGATGCTATTTTGTAAGAGACATAATGGCAATAAGACATCTACTGTGATGAGTAGAATCCTGCACAGAACATCTACATGTGGCAGCTGCTCTTTGTGTTGCTTTCCTGAACTAATGGACTAACAGTTTTTTTCCTGTGTTATTCCAGAACATGGTCAGCATGGACACGAGCAATACTCCATCTCCCTTACACTGCCTCTTAGGGAGCTACTAGGGGAAGGTTTTCTGGAGGAGGGAAGAAGTGGAGCCGGGCTCCCCAGCCAGTCGTGTTCTTGGTCTCTGAGACAGTCTCTTGTTCCACAACTTGGTGTAGTTGAAAGCTTGCCAGTAGGATCTGAACAGAGGACACCAGCTCAAGAAACAAGTGGCCCAAAAGCTTCTAACTATTATGGTCACTTAAACAAACCAGCAATCTAGAGGGAGAGACATTCTGCGAGCTGGGTAGCCCAAGCTTCCCAGCTCTTTCCGAGTCACTGAGCTTTCCCATTGCTTTTTTCTAAGCCATAAGACTGACCTGTGTGCAGCAAATTTACCTCTTCAGGAAAACTCCCATTTATGTGCTTTTTTTCTTGTCTAAATCTGCTTGCCTAAAAGTATTGGCTGTATGGATACTTAGACTGTCCTTGGAGATGAGGAGGCAGAGGTGGCTTACTTCAGCCCTAAGTAAGAACAAGGCTTTATTAACAGGTTGCTTTAATATGAACATAAAACATAACTTTGGCCTTGTGAGGACAAACCATCATCTAATAAAATGCCATTCACTTTGGCACCTGAAGTAACCACCCTTTCCCAAATCCCTAACAGAGCTGGGAGGTACCAAGTGACCAAGTGTGTGTGTTACACACCCTTAGCAGGCGTTTGGGGGTTTAAAACCCCCTTCTTATTTCAGCTGGGGGTGTCAGCTCTGCTGTGAGAGCTCTTCACCTTCCTTGGTCGCTCTCAGTGTTTTCCAGCCTCCTCTTTTCCCTTCTGCCTCGTGGCGGATGGGGCTCCGTAGTGACGGTACCTGGCAGTGTTTAGCATGAGCCATCCTGGTCACTGCTGCCACCACGTTCAGCCTCTGTCACTGCACTGCCCTGGAGGCCAGGACAAACCTTGAGATGTTGGAAGCCCCTGATTTCTTGGGAGCAATAACTGAACAAGCCACTAACTAGCACTTTAAGTAGTTCTGGGCCTGGCCTTGGAGCCCGACGTTGTGTAGCTGTTGCTGCCCCATGGGGTCCTGATGTTCTTTTGGGTGAAGCAAGATTAATTTTAGCTAAAAAAAAAGCTGCTAGAAAAAAAGATGCTTTTGACTCTGCTGCGATGGCAGCCTCGGACACGTCTGCGTGTCAGGGCCATGGCAGCGTGTGCTGGGTTTGAGCAGCATCGCTGGGATGCGGCAGGAACCTGCAGGAAGCTCCAGCTCTGCTCTCCGGCTCCGGAACCGCTCGAGCGCTGCCCATGGGACTGTTCCGAGAAGAATCTCCAAGACGAGCGGATGGAGGGAGACTGAACTCTTAGTTATTTGCTGTGGAACTGAAAGAACCCTTTCCTCCATCACATGCCCTGGATTTTTCCTTTCCTTTTTGAGGTCTCATAGGCTTTGCCACCCTTGGAGGTGGTGTGGTACAAACTGAAGCCTCCGCGTGTATTTTGAGCCTGGCCTTATTGGCCCAGTGCCACGTTGTGGAACAGGTAATTCTGCTTCCTTAGGTACTTTTTGCTATTTATAAATGAGCAATGGAAGCAAGGGGGTTAGCGAAGGGGTACTGCACTTTGTGGGCCAGAGGAGCTGGTCGGTTGTCTCTCGCCCTTAGTCATTTCCCGTGCACCCCACGTGTCTTGACATCTCTCCCGTGCTCCTCTCTCCGGCACGGTCCTCGCTGTCGTGTGTCACCAGCCGCACCTAATGGCAGAGGACGGTAATATATTTTATAAAGACTTCAGTTTCTGAACGCTTCTCGCAGCAGCGGTTTTCCCTTGGCGTTTCTGTGTGCTGATGTCTGCTGTGGCTCGTGGCTCCACGTGGTCGCTTGCCCGGG